TTTTGACAAAACTTTAAAATCTACATGGAAAATAGGCGAAATCGAAATGACTTTGAATAGAATATCTTATCCGAGTAACATCATCTTGTATCATCTCTTGCAACTCATAAATACCCTTACTAATGGCATATTCGAATATTATCTTACAGCTCTGGCTCTCTTCGAGCACGTGAATTTGGTCTACGGAACTATTAGTGAATTTTGTACACAATCCGGTTGCGCAGACATGACCGGACCGGGCAACAGGTGAGCAAATCGATATAATTCCATCAGATGAGAATATGTTTAATTAAATCGTGCCATTTACAGAACGTACTTATGGTTCGATGAGAAGGGCAAGAAGACGCGGGTCGCGGCACCGCAATACATCGACTATGTGATGACCTTTACGCAGAAAACGGTCAGCGACGAATCGATATTTCCAACCAAATACGCGAACGAGTTTCCCGGCTCGTTCGAGTCAATCGCCCGAAAGATTTTACGCTTGCAATTTCATGTGATAGCGCATCTGTATGCGGCGCATTTCAGAGAAATCGCGCTGCTCGGCTTGCACACCCATTTAAACTTGACGTTCATGCACCTCACGGCCCTGCATCGCCGCTTCAATCTGATCGACGAGAAGGAGACGGACGTGCTGCGCGATCTGGAGGTGGCGCTCCGCCTAACCGACGACAACAGCGTTTGCGGCCACGACTCGCTAGCCGAATCCGGCTCAACCTCCGTCTCCGCAACCGCAACCGCTTCGGTCTCTGCCGGCAACTGTGAGCAGCAGCAGCAGCAGCACAGCAGCAGCAACAGCAACAGCAATTCCTCCGGCGAGGCGCTGCATGTCAATTCACAAAGCATCTGCGGCACATCAGCTGCGTCGCCGGCGTCGTCTCTCATTGATGGCGATGCTGCCGCGCCGCCCATCTGCACACAGCCGGAGGCGGGCGCAGCCGGCAAGCCGCCCGGCAGCGGCGGCCTGTTGGGTGGCATTTTGGGTGATTTAACCAGCGGCGAATTTGGTGATACAACGCGCTACTGCACCTCGGCAGTTCCTCCTCATGCTGCTGGCACTGATGCTGCTGCCGCTGCCGGCGCCAACACGTTGCCACCGAATGGGGCAACAAATGGCGCAATACATTTAAATTTTAGCAACAATAACAGCAACAATCACAATTTGAATCACTTGAACCATCATCACCATCATCACACCCATCACCATCACCATCATCACCATCCGCACACCCATCTGCACCATCTGCAACAGCAGGCGGCAGCGGGGGCGGGGGCGGGTGCGGGGATTGGGGCGTCGCCCACAACGCAGCACAGTGGCCTCATACAGTGCAATGCAGCGGGCGCAGCAGCATCTGCGGGGGGCGGCGGCGGCGGCAACAGCAGCAACAGCAACACGACAGCAACAACATAGTGTGACAGCAGCAACAGCAGCAGCAGCAGCAGCAGCAACAACAACAAAAAAACAACAAACAAACAAACAAAAAACATTAGAAATACTAGAATTACGCAAAAATGTTATTTAATGTTATTACTTCTATGATCCTAAAGTTGAAAATATTGTAAAAATAAAACAAAAAAAACAAACAATTGTAAAACACAATTATCGATAATCGATAGTCGATTGCAGTTCGACAGTTGCGTAGTTCCATAGAGCACACACACACACGCGTTCATTCTAGGAGTTGATATGCATGGAAAGAGAGCTGCAAGCTTAGAGCTAGAGAGCGACAGAAAAAGAGAGAGAGAGAGAGAGAGAGAGATGAGAGCGAATGCGAGTGCGAGAGAGCGGTTGGTCTCCTGCTACATTACGCTTAATAAGCTTTATATGTAACAGCCACAAGCAACCCGCCCCACGCCCTCAGAAGCCCTGAGAATCACAGAAATGACAGTTAAAAGGCATAGCCTAAAGGCAAATACAGGCATATTAGTTCATAAAACGAACAAATCAACAAGTTGATAAACTATAGTTATAATAAAAAACAAAATTGTAAAAATGTTAAGAGAACACATAAGAGAAAGAAATCACACGCAAATTAATTGACGCACGGTCACACTGTTAGCTTTAACAATCTCACCCAACTGGCAAGTCCTTTAAACTAATTGTATATTACTTAATTTGTATTTTGCTCTGTTTCCTGTGCATACGAAATCGTAAGAGTATTAATTGCAAGGCAGATTTCTTAGAGTTATCTTAGAGTAAAACATGTTAATATACCTCAATAAATATTTAAATGTGCATAGCCCTAAAACACACACATATTTATATTTGTACTTATATTCAACTATGAATTTCGTTTCCTTTCGTAAGCTAAATAGAATATTTGACCTTCAGCTTGAATAGTCAAAATCTAAAATGCCACGCCTGTAGTTCCTTTCCTACTTCTAAGTCTAAATATTAATGTTATCGTAAGACGAAAGCTTCACTTTAGTGTTCATGCACATTTAAATGATTTTATTATGAAGTATTTTAAGCAAATTTTTGACGCTGATAACACATGTTTCATTCATTCTTTTTTTAGCTCTTATCTAAACTTTTTGCTTGGTTCCTTTCCTGTTTCTCAGAACCACTAAAATTTGTAAAACCTTCGCTTAGCTTTGGCTATATAAACAACATTTTGCGAACTCTTTAACGGCAACTGATGAGCACCTGAACTTGTAGAATATTCCTAGAGTATATCTATATCACTCTTAACTCGTATTTCTCTTCTACTTTGAATAGGTATGCACCAGATATTTCACGTCTCATGTAACCCGCGCGCACAGAGTATGTTGCACCAGATTTTAAGAATAACAACAAATTCAAATAACAGTGTTGAAAAACGTGCTGAGAGTTACGAAAGAACAAGAAATCAACTTGAATTACCAAAGGCAATGAAGCTAATTTACTTTAAACTACAAAAACAAAACGAAACAAAACTATATATAAACAAATAATACAAATAAAATAATGTTCAGTGTAAACTAGGTTCTTGCTTGTGTATGTGTATGTGTATGTATTTGAGTGAGTGTGCGAGTGTGCATGTGTGTGTGTGTGTGTAATATGATTTATGTGCATTAGATGGGGCATCTTCTTTCTAGCCGTAGTTGAACCTAGACATTTGAAGCTCACTGAACAGTCCAGGCTTTAGCTAAAACTATGCATTAACAATTTTAGATGCGTTGACAAAATATGAACTATTCATTAAATTCGTTCGAATGTTGTGAAAGATATGCTACGGAAAGTTACAGAAGCACGAGTTTTTGCCTGATTTCCCAACTGGAAATTAGCAGAACAACACATTTTATGATAAAAGAGAAAACAAAATACTTATAAAATGCAAAATGATAATGAAATAAATTGTTATGTTCAATTTAAAAAAGCTATGTGTATTATTGCTAAGACCTTAGATATTCTTTAATGCCAGTTTAAGTTTGTAAATGTTTTATTTAATATTTGAATATTTCAAAAGTAGAATTTTCTTAGAATATATGGAAAGATAAGTTGGCTTAAAAACAGTTGGATTATATTTAGGTAAGTATCTTTGTCAAACTCCAGAAGTAAAGAACCTGGAATATATCTAACTATGCAGTGAGTATTATAATATTGTCAGGTGTAAGGCATTAAAGAACACATCTCTGTAAGCATAAAATATACTTATTCGTGATCCGTATAAAAGAGTCGAGTGGACAGACTGACTGACTGACTGACTGACAGACTAAGCCGAGGGATAGCTGAAATGAGATGAAGATGCGCGTTAAGACGGTGTTTCGGGAAATTCCACCCGCAAGTGTGGAAAAATCGCGAAATGCGTTTGTACCATCTGATCCGCCTCAAACTCATTTTCAAAGAAATTTGTTTAAATTCATTTGAACTTTTCGAAAAATCTATTCCTCCTTGGTTGAAATGGGGGTCAAAGATTTGGAAGCTGATTTTTCGCGTCAAATTCATTTCCAAAGACCTATAAAAAAATACATTTTTCGCAAAATCTAAAACTCTTCGGTCTTATATCATTTCAATGTTCAATATCATTTTCAAAGCTTTTTGAGAACATTTGATTTACAATATGCATGGACCACGGGCAAGGCCGAGCTATACCCGCAAGTATATATAGATTTATATATATATATTGAATTTATAATCAGCTGATTACGACAAGCAGCCAAAGCAAATGAACTTATTATTTACCATCTATCAACAGTGAAATGAATGTCACTGAAAGCCTGATCCATGGCTTTTGTTTACCTATATTGAGTCACTGACTCACTTACTGATAATACTTAGCTTAACAGCTTTTGGAAAACTGAGCTTCCGAGCGATTTCCGTATTTCAGTCTATTTACTTTCTGGTGCTGAGTGCAGTTGAGATTTGCATTTCTGTTCCAAAATCAAAATGCTATCAATATGAAATATATTAAATATATTTTATTTATAAGATCGTAGCTGAAGCAGAGTTTAACGAAAATGAGGAAACAGTATGATTACTTATTAATGAATGTGTGCACTGCAAAAAAGAATTCAGACTCCTTTTTATCAGTCTTGTGTGGCAACCAGAATAGCAGAGAAGGAGAGAGAGACCTTTGTTAAAGTATATTCATAAGATGAAGGAGGAAATCGAAAACAATAACAATAAAATTGAAACCAAAGATAGAGACATCAAGAAACTGCAGGAAGAACTTAACCAAAATAATAAACAGGTCATTGAGGAACTGAGAGCTCAGAATGAATTCCACAAACAGAGTATCAAAGAGCTAACTAACGAATTTTTGTCAATAAAAGAGGAAATTGGTTAACTTATTTCCAATTCCTTGAAAATCGCGGCTATGAAGTGCAACTGGAAACACAAAAGAAGTCAATTGATCAACAGGCCCAACAAATATCAGAACTCAAAGACGAAATCAACATTTGTGAAAAGAAACTTAAAAGCTGTGAAGAGAAGCCCGTTCACAGTGACTGCAACGACTTTGCTGATGCTCCGGGTATTCATAAGATTACTCCAGATCAAGAAGCTCCTTTCGATGTACCTTGCGATAGTGCGATAGAAGGTCCTGGCTGGATAGTTATCCAGCAGCGAATCAATGGTAAGGAGGATTTTTAACAGGAATTGGACCACATAACCGCACTCAGCACCAGAACGGACGTAAATAGACTGAAATACGGAAATCATTCAGAAGCTCGTGTGTCCAATATTTCTGCGATTTTAGGCTATTATCAGTAGGTCAGGAGCTCAATAAAAAAAAAACAAAAGTCATGGACCAGGCCTTAAGTGACCTTCATTGAACTGTTGATAGATTGCAAATAGAAAAGTTCATTTGCTTTGGCTGCTTCTCGTTATCAGCTCTTTTTATGAGACTAAAAACTAGTTGCAAAACTTTTATATTATTTAATTTATTTATATGTTTTATAATTTTATTAATTTGTTATTATTATTCATCGAATAAAAATTTCAATTTTAACTTTATAATTGTTTTTTAATAGTATTTTTAATATTTTGTAATTGTATTTGTACTTAAGGGTCATCCCTATATCTGTATTAAACAATTTGTCTCGACTGACTGGCTGACTGGCTGTCTGTTTGGTGATCTTCAATATAGTCACCATATTTGATGATGATGCACTTTGAGACGCGGTGGCGGCAAATTTGTGGGGTGTTTTACACATTTCCCCAAATCGAATTTTAATTTAATGAATATCTAAAGTTTTTAGCACAAAACATTCCACGGGCAAGGCCGGACAATGCGCGCTAGTATAATATATATATAGCAGCCCTATATGCCGGAAAGGGTATTTAATTGTTGATTAACTAACTAGCTTATATATATATAGCTGAACTACTTAAGTGAAAGATAATCAAAATCTAATGTGAATGTTGTACGTGCATATAGATATTTGCAGGTTACCCTCTGTTTTCCAATTAGAATATCGGCCAGCTTCAGCTCTCCCGCGAATCTCAATAGTCTTGCAGCTACACACACACACACATATATATATATATATATATATAAATATATATTAGTTATATTATCGTTAATTTAATAAAATGCAACTACGTGTGTGTGTGTGTGTGTGTGTGTGCCTGTCAGTTCCAGTTCCAGTCGTGAAAACAAGCATACAATAGATTTGGCCATGACGAACTGTAAATACCCTTGCGTACATAATAGTCGACTAGTTTAAATGGAAAAAGTTAAGAGAGCTCTGCCAAGTTATAGAAACTTTGTGTACTCATTATAATTTATATCTTATCACTTAAAAGTTCGACATGTAGAGGGCATACATAGTCGCTGTTGCCCTGTTGGATTCGGTTCAGATGGACGGAAGTGCTGAGCGCATTCGGTTCGCCGCGCTCAGTTCAGTTGGACGCTGCCGTCGAAGCGAAGCGGAGCCAAATAAAATTGGGGAACGGCACAGTGGACTCTCAGTTGAGTCTCAGATAACAGCTAGAATGGAGCGTTATGGGCTGCTGGCACTCGCTGTGCTCGCGGCTTGTGCAGTGCATGGCGCGGGGGGGCAGTCGCCGCCGGGTCATCGCACCAGGTACGAGCCGAACTGGGCGAGTCTGGACCAGCGACCGCTGCCGCGCTGGTACGACGAGGCGAAGGTGGGCATCTTTCTGCACTACGGCGTGTACTCGGTGCCGAGCTTTGGCTCGGAATGGTTTTGGACCAACTGGATAAGTGGGTGAGCGAGAGATAGAGAGAAATATATATATATATAGAGAAAACAACGATTCGTTGCAGATCTGCGCAATCCCGACTATATACGCTTCATGGAGCGCAACTACAAGCCCGACTTTACCTATCAGCAATTCGCGGATCAGTTCACGGCGGAGCTCTTCAATGCCACGCAGTGGGCCCTGCTCTTTCGAGATAGCGGCGCCAGGTAAGCCCCAATGGGCCGATCTTTCAGTTTCAATAACGAATATATTCGTCCGCAGGTATGTCGTGCTGACCAGCAAGCATCACGACGGCTACACGCTGTGGCCCTCGAAGCAGAGCTTCGGCTGGAACGCAGTGGATGTGGGACCCAAGCGCGATATAATCAGTAGGTCAGCTCTGTCTTTGTAATCTCTCTCTGGCTGATCGAGGCTCGTATATTCTCCACAGAGGAGCTAGCGGCGGCGGTGCGCAGCGTTACGGATCTTCGATTTGGCCTGTATTACTCGCTGTTCGAGTGGTTCAATCGCTTGTGGATCGACGACAAGCTGCATCTGCTGCTGCAGCAGCACTTCGTGGACTACAAGGTGCGGCCCGAGCAGATGGAGCTGGTGCAGCAGTATTTGCCGGACATCATTTGGTCGGACGGCGATTGGGAGGCGCCGGCCAAGTACTGGAAATCGGAGGAGTTCATCGCCTGGCTCTACAATGACAGTCCCGTGCGGGAGACTGTGGTGACCAATGATCGCTGGGGCTTCGGCACCGCCTGCTTGCACGGCGACTTTTACAATTGCGCGGATCGCTTTAATCCGGGCGTGCTGCAGGCCCACAAATGGGAGAACGCATTCACCCTGGATCGCACCAGCTGGGGCCAGCGCTTCGATGTCAGCCTGTCGGATTTCATGAGCTCCAAAGATGTCATCAGGGGTATATACCTATATGCTTAAATTCGATTTATTCAGGCTACTCTTATTGAAATTGGCCTTGCAGAAATTGTGAGCACGGTCAGCTGCAACGGCAATGTCCTGATCAATGTGGGTCCCACCAAATACGGCACCATACTGCCCATTTTCGAGGAGCGACTGCGGGACATGGGCCGCTGGCTGAAGGTCAATGGGGCGGGCATCTATGGCAGCACGCCGTGGATCTATCAGAACGATACCCAGACGCCGCACGTGTGGTACACCCGGGGCAAGGAGTCGGATGATGTCAGCACCGTTATCTATGCATTTGTGCTGGAATATCCGTACGACACAAACGAGCTGGACATCTATCCGCTTGGCAAGGATATCAATGTCTTTCGCAATGTTTTGCTCACGGGCCTGGACTTGGGCATGGATAGCGATGTCTTAACGAAGGCGACCACCCAGATTACTATGCTGGGCATGGAGGACACGAAGATAGCCGTGAGTAGCCGTGATAAGCCCTCGATTTTATTTTCTAATCTTAGCCAACTTTGGTTTTTCACAGTGGACGGCAAACCACAACAAATTGCACATCCTATTCCCACCCAAACATCATATTGATAAGCGGGGACTCGATTATGCCTGGACTTTTAAGATAACTATAGCTGAAGTTTAACTGTAAACTCATATATTAACAAATATATAGAGAGATATTTAGATATTTTAATAAATAATATAGATGTACAAATTTCGCTAGTTCGTTATTTGAATTAACTAATTTTTCGCGCCCATTTGCGGCCACAGTTATTGGTATATTCTCTCTTAATGTGGCTGGTCACACTGTTCATCGTCACAGCCAATATATCGCACATCATACTGCCGTCTCTAGTCTGATTGGCACAACAAACGCGAAAAGCTGCAAATCCTAGCGCTGGCTTATCCCTGCACATTACAACTAGTAAATCCTTTTATTTAACTACAAAAATTGTGTGAATTGTGTTTAATAGCTCTAACTACGGCAGTTGACTAATGAAAAGTGCATTAAACAAGCAATTAGTACACAAAGAAATAGAATAAGTATTTGATGCTGAACAAGTGTAGGGGCAGCAAAAATGCCAATACAAAAATGCTGAGAGAGCAGAGCGTGCGCGAGCCAAAGAGCGAGAGTGTATTTGTGTGGGTGTGTTAAATGCGCTCTTATCATTTATGCGGCAATTGTTTATGTTGACGTCTGTCAATTGTCCAACTGTCCAGCTGCAGCTGTTGTTAATAAGCAAAGTGTTGTTTATTTATGGCAATTCTAACTGTAACTGTGCGCATACAAATTTCGCTATAAAAATAGGCAGAGCAATGGCACGCGAAGGCCACCTGTCGTATGCACTGCCTGCGACCGAATAAATCGTGCTTATTCAGGCGTGAATTTCGAGGCGCTCATTTGTTGTGCATGGCTAATTAACGTTGATTTGTGTCTTGTGCGTTGCGTAGTCGCCTTCGGGTGTAATTATCAGTGGATTATTAGCTTCTTCAGTTGCCAGTTTGTAGCCAAAACAATCAATGCGTCATCAATTGTTTGTTCCGAGAGTTCGGTTTTAGGGTGGTGAGCGAGAGCCAGAGCGAGGGCCAGAGCGAGAGCGAAAGCGAAAGCAAACAAATTGTGTGCGCGCCGTTATGCACAGAGCGTTGCCACATATCAAAACACTGGAATGCTTCATTTAAATAGCGTTCTTAAGATCTTCACATATTGCTTTTAGTTTGTGAGTAGTATATAAGAAAGCCATCAAGTTTATGGTTAAATTTACGGACAAGCACTTTTCAATATTTACTAAAGGGATTTCTTAATTCAAACAGTCATGCATCATTTACATGCTTTCGAACTGCTACTTTTCACTAGTTCCGTGAACTATACACATATGTGTTGAAACTCGACAACCCTGCGCGGCTCTCTCTACAACGGCAACTCCGGTTAAGTGAGCGCGCAGCAGCTGTTTTGTTGTTTTCGTTCACTCTCTGTCTCTCTCACAACCCGTTGCCATACGTCACTTTTGGCCAAAACACACTGGCGACTATCGACTCTTTCAGTCTTAACTGTGTCTGAACTGGCGTGAGTAAGCGTTTGGATTGCGTTCGGCTAGGAGCAAACGGCAGCGCGTGTTAAGAAATTATAATAAGAAACAGTGAGAACACAGCTAAAGATATGTAAAGAAAGAGTTCATTATCAAAAGTGACTACGAAAAGTGAACAGCAAATGCAAGTGCAAGTGCAAGCGCAAGTGCAGTGAACCAGTCTCAGCGGACGGCGCCCTTGAACGTAAATGTGTGTGTTTGGTTGTATGCTTTTGCGTGAGTGTGTGTGTGTGTGTGTGTGTGTCGGCTGCTGTTTCCAAAAATGTTCAATGTAAAAATATAAAAATACAACAACGGAATGGCTAAAATTCGATTAACAACAAAAGCAACCTTGAAAAGGCAAAACGGCGACTGACTTGGCTATTTTTACGTGTAGAAGTGGAAGTGCTCGAAATTGTATTCCATGCATGCTTGTCCAATCAGAAATCCAAAGGCACCAGCAGCAGCGGCAACTGAGAGCGCGGCCAGAACAATTGAATATGTCGTCGCATGGTCATTAACACTAGACGGTTCTGTGTGCGTTGTTTGTATGTGTGCGCAAATGTGTTTGTGTGCGTATGTGTGTGTGTATGTCTGTGTGTATTGCTATGTCTGTTTTGTGCGTGTGTTCTTGATTTCTTTATGTAATTTTTAACATTTCTTTTATTCGACGTAGGCGTGCAGGAATTTGCGTACGCAGAAACGCTAGCGGCAGCGGTGAAAAGCGTAGCGACAAAATAGTAGTAGATATTGTAGTCGAGTGAGCAGCTCGGTTGGCCAAAATGACGTGCTCGTTAATTAATTAACTAATTAAGAAGTGAATGAAAGAGAGTGAAATAGGTGTAGTCCGAGGCCACAAACAAGAACTCCCAAATCCGTATTAATATGACATCATACGCAAATGACACAACGGCAACGGCGGCAGCCACAACAACAACAACAACAACAGCAGCAGCAAGAAATGCAGGAGGCGAACCGCCAGCAGCAGCCGCAACGCCAGCGTCTGCAGTCGGCGCAACTGCTGTGGTGCAGCTCAACAAGCAAATGTCCAGCCACAACAACAACCATAATAACAGTGCTTACGAAGAGGACGACAACAACAGCTTGGATGGGCGCGAGAAAGCCGACACGACGCCTGAGAACATCAAGAAGATTGCCGAGATCATAAACGACAAGGAGGCAGCGGCAGCGGCAGCGGCAGCGGCAGCAGCAGCGACGCCAAGCTCACTCTCGCCGCGACTTCAGCAGCAGCAGCAGCAGCAGCAGCATGCGTCGAGCTTTGTAGGACTTGGCGCTGCCATCGATGAGTCAAACACAAAGTTCTGCCTTGGCAAGCCGCCGCCATCGCCAGCCGAAAAAGGTGAGCAAATTGAATAAAGCCGCCGTCGACGTTGCAGTCGCAGTCGCAGTTGACGTCGCAGTTGACAAAAAGCAGCAGCACCGCAGCTGCTACAACAACAATAACAAGAGAGTGGTTATTCATAAGCTTGCTGTTGTTATTGTTGTTGCTTTCAGCTTGTTGCTTGTATCTTTTTCGCTTTTTTGCTTTTAATTTGAATTTTTAATGAAGCTATTTGGCGAGTTTTGGCCACGGCTTTAGCGCAAATATTTATTGCACTATTCATGGCAAACAAACACACACACACACACACACACACACAAACACACCCATGAAAGAACATAATGAACGGTTGCACAGTGGGGCGAAGACCCTAAATCTTTGAAATAAATACACTTGCATATATATATATATATATCAATCGGAAAATATTATTAGAACTCGTAAATTGAGAATTGAAAAATTAGAAATCGACATATTTGTTGGCAAAATAGTGGGAATTTTTCCTACTTTCCCTTTGGTTAGATGAACTAATAGAGCTCCTTCAAATATGTACATACATATGTATATAAACTGAACCTGAACATCTAATCAGGCGTGCGTAGACATTATCAATTTGGGCACAAGGCCGCATATGAAGTATTTATTTTATCTTTTTGGCATGTTGCCCATTTTTTGAAAATCAAATCGAATATTTTGCCCTTTAATCAAAAGAAAAAATGTGATTGCAATTATTTCAAAAAAATATGCTCCGGCAAAAGTACACAATTCCAGAGATTGTAATTCTAGCATTTGTTTAAACAAAAACAATTGCTGTTCGATTCTATGGAATTTGTGGGCTGCGATTTGTTGCAACAAATCCAACTGCGAAACTTGCATGACATAAGCTATGTGTTTCAGCCTCAGATACAAAGCGAGTCCCTAGTCGAACCAATTGAGTTCGCGACACTTAAAAATCCATGTTGTCATAATTTTTATCAGCTTTGGCATGCCCTTGCAAAGGGTATTATGAATTCGTGAACCTATTTGTTGCGCCTGTTTCTGCTTTCCCTTTTACTCTTTAAGACCAACAATTAGTCATTAAAATATCGTTAAAAAACAATTTATAATACACTTCATTTGATATACTTTAATATATTTAATTAAGTTAATTTGATTAGCCAATGTTGACTTTTTGATAAGCTCTGATAAAGTTGCATTTACCGTGTCTATCTATGAGGGTATTTAATTGTTGGCATAACGCAGATAACCTTTTTCTTTACTTTGCTCGTTTTGTGTTTTTTCTTGTATTTAACGACAGACAAATCTTACACAATCCGTAACAGTTGCTGTCATTATCTGCCATTTTCACGCCGAGCACACGCAATTCACCCGCAAAAACGCGAATACGGGTGACTCAACGAGCTCGAGCTCGAGCTCTGATCGATTGCAGCCAGTTGCGATATGGCCCAGGTTTTGTTTTGTTTTGTTTTTGCAACATTTTCGCACAACGAAATCCATGCCATGAGCGCAAATGTAAATACAATAATTCCAGATATTTATTTTGTTAAATTAAATGTATGAATGCGATTGATAGCTTGTTTAACAGAACTTAGCCCAGATATCGGTTACCGAAAGCCAATTGACCCAGTACCAAAGCCAGTGTGACGAACTACAGAGTTTAACTTCAATTGATGTCTAATTCAAGTTATTATGTGCAACATACGAGAAACTGATGGACTTGATGATACCCATTAATCTATATTTCTGGTGGAAAATATAGAAAACCTTCTATAAATGAGAATCAGCCTTAAAATGTTCGATATGGGTCATTATTCAAATATATCTAAAATTTGATTATTTTCTGCCTGAATCTAAGGGTTTTTACTAGCAAGTAGAGGTGCGAGCCAATTGAGCTTTGTGCAGAAACGCCTCATATGCCGCATCAGTTACAGGGTATTAGAGAAATTGCAAATAATTGCAGCCCCATCATTTGGTTGATGCATTACGTGATTTTGTTGCAAACTAGAACAGAAATTTGTGCCTCCTCACAAAACGATCGATGTCAGGAAATGTGGTACGACAGTGTACACTGTACTACGTACTTACATAGACAAATATGTGTGTGTGTCCATTTACCACAACTAAACGTAATTACACTGACCAAAATATTGTGAATCGAGGCGCGCTTTTTGTCGTTTTTGTTGTTGTTGTCGAGTGGCAATTTGTAGTTTTTTTTTTTTCTAAATAATTTTTATTGTTATGCTCGCTTTTACTTTTTGCAATAAATAAACAAAATGTTGTTACTGCCATTACCATTTAGGGCAATTTTGTTGTTGCAACTTTTGGCTGTTATTTTCTTTTTTGACTTTTTGGAAAGTCAAGAGCACAAAACTAAAGGGCCGCCGCCTGCTGTTTTCCATTTTTGTATGACTTAAAAAGCCTTCAAAAGTGTTGCTACAATGGCTACAATGGTAACAGCAAATCGATAGCAATTTTAACATTGTTTTAGTTTTTTCACAGCAATTAATTGGTAACAGGTTTCAATTGGACTGCCAATTGAATTGGACGATTAGTAAGCGCGTCTTGCGTCATCGCTCAACTTGAAAACTCTTCAAATCGCCTTTGTGCTATTTTGGCAGCTCTTAATTTCACGTTTCACTCAAGAAATATCTAAACGCTCAACACTTGCGGTTTTGCATACATTTAAATATGATTATATGCATATTTTTAAACACGGCGACAGCAGCAGAGAAAGCACCCATTCGATCATCAATTGTCATCGGATTGAGGTCATCGGCTCGGCCATTGGACGCGAGCTGATCAAATCTTAACAGCAACAACCAGCACAGTATTTCACAGCTTGTCGAAGTAGGCGACACTTTCCTGACTGTTTAGAAGCCAACCTAGTCCTTTCGCTTGCTGCCACAGTCTGAAGAGTTCCAAGAGGTGAACGACCTTTGTGAAATTATCGAGCCGTCTGGCGTTGAGCTGATAGTGTATGTATATATTAATATTATTAATATATTTATAGCCGAGCAGTGATAAAGTCGATCGGTTTGTCCAAGAAATTCGTTTTATACGAACGTTTTCCGCGCGTTTTCCGCACTTGCTGGTGAATTGGTCAGCGCCAATTTCAGCTACGGTTCAGTAAGTCCGTCAGCACAAACTGTTGTGTATATATAGAGGATATCATGTCTCGTTCATATCAGACTATGCGCTTTTTCGGTTAGACTAAGATGACTAATAATAAGCTCGATTCGAGTCTGATTTCGCTCGTGCTTTCGTATAGAGTTTATATTGAGTTTTGCTGTTTAGTCTTGTTAAACAGCTGTCATTCTAAATATTTAATTGCTCGAATTTCCAATTTTTTTTTTTGAGTAATTTCCTTAATTATAACTTTATTTATAATACAATTAATGAATTTAAAGCCAGACCAATACTTGCCGCATTTGTCTTGTGCTTCCTGTTCCACTGCAAGCTCGCAACTTAATAGAATAATTAATCTGGAAATAAATTGATTTCGGCCAAAAGTGAAATCGTTCGTTAATTTGGTCATCTTTGAAAGGCAGGTCGAGAACTTGCACGGCGGAACGGAAGACACGTGCGTCCAAAACTTCAATGGCCAGCGCGCGCTAGGCGGAGCGTAAAAAATTGTTGCCCTTCCCCACACACACACACACTCACACACACACACACACACACAATTGACCGAAAGCAACGAACTCTAACCTTCATTTGATGCACTGCTCGCCCCCATAAAACTTATAAGTAGACATGCCCCCATCTACCTCTCCAGCCGTGGATCACGTATACGCTCGTAGAGCGGCCCGCTAAATTGTATGCCTATTCCACTCCCATCCCATCCCGTTGCGTCTCTGTTTGTTTCGCAGACTTGAAAGCAAATTGTTTGCTTTTCTTTTGGCTGCCGCTTTGCCACGGAAATGTATAGAAATTTTCTGGCGGAAGCAGTGGGGGAATTGCCACGTTGCAGGTGGGCGTCACTTGCAAAAGGTTGACCATGGTCAGCAAAAGAAAGAAAAAAGAAAATGTCTATTGTGGGTTTTACCATAACTATTGGATATACTTGACATAACCTTTTGCGGAAGATCTTTCATTCTATGTGCCTACGTTTTATGATAAATTTGTAAGGAGCATTGAACCTTTGGTTATTTTATCATAATATTCTCATTTTATTGCATTTTTATTTGTTTCACATTTAAATATTTAATTGAAGAAGTTAGAAAAACGTGTTCTGTAACTATAAATCAAACATTTCTACACAAATGTAAATATTTCTAAATTTCTATTTTTAATTAATTCAGCGAAGCATATAGTTGATAGCATTTTAATGAATCCATTTCGACCAGCTGTCGAAAGCATATTTTTTGATTTGGGGGGAATTGGGAGTGTGATGTGAGACATAAGTGATTTTCGTTTTAAATTGCAAGAGTCTGAGCCAGACGCAAGGCAATTTATTTTCGTTTTAACCATGTGAATTAGGGCTGCTTTAAACTAAGAGTCATTTCTGTTGAGTGCTTTGATTCCATTTAATTTACGTGCGACTAAGAGGCGCCCAATTGCCCGCATGCTGGCTGAACCGGCCGCGTGCGGCACTTGCTATTCGCTCGTTCGCTTCAGTTGCTGCGGTGAACCGAATTCTCTCTGCCGAGCTGGAGTCGTTTTCACCGATTAAATGGATCGTAATTGTAACTGTATATAAATGTTAATTTAATTGTATATTTTTGCTGGCTGTGTTCCATTGCAGCGGCTGTGCTGAGCCGAGCGAATCACCAACAGAACAGCTGCAGCAGCAGCAGCGTCGGCAACAAAGAGATCTCCGCTGCGGAGGATGCGGAGGACGAGTCGACGGCATCGAATTCAACGGCAACAAAGCAATCGCTGGCCTTCACCATTGACCACTTTGACGCCTCGGAGAACGACGCGGCAGCGCAGGCCGCACGCTATAAGAACATGATGGAGCGCTTTCAGAGTCGCCACAGGCGCGGCGCCTCCATGTCCAAGCTGGAGAGCGAGCACGGCAGCACGGCGACCAGTGGCAACGGGCGCCACTCGCAGCGCAGCAGCCTTGACGCCAGCAGCGTTGCCGATGATGATGCTTCAATGACGGCGGCCACGCCCACGGCCGAAACGCCCGCCGTGAAGTTGCGTGTGCGCGAGCGCAGTGCCTCGCGTGTAAGAGACGCCTCCAAGCGGCACAGCTGGTCGCCGCGCAGCTCGGCCACAACAGAGCCAGCCGCTGGCCGCGCGTCCAACCAAAAGCCAAAGTCCACACAGCCAGCGGCGCCGCCGAAGGGCGCTGCCAATCTGCTGGCGAATCGCACCACACAGTTCACGCCGCGCTCGACGGCCATGCAAATGGCGCTGCAGCAGGTGGAGCTGCTGTGTCCGCATCCGCCACTGGACGACATGAAGGCAGCGGCGGGGGAGGAGGACGCGGTCAGCGAGGCGGGCACCTACACTCTAGATGGCGATAACTACACAGAGGAGCAGAAGGATCTCATGAACATCGATCGGAATGCAGCCGCGGCTGCGGCAGCTGCCGCGGCCAAGCTGCGACCCAAGCAGCTGGCGCTGAAGCCCAGCCGTCCCAGCAATGTGCTCGAAGTAAACTACTACCACGAGACGCCGCAGCAGGAGCAGAAGGGCAGCAGCACCAATGCCAATGCGACGGGCGCCTATTTGGAGCAGCTCAAGTCGCGTGTGCTGCGGCCGCCTCAAACGCCTCCAACGCCGTCGTCGCCTCGATCGCCGGCCGCCGATGTGGGCTGCTTCACCAGCGTCACCACGAGCGGTGTGCTGGCCAAGCAGCGTGCCCTCGACACGCATCCCAAGCTGACGCGCCACTCGCACAGTCTGTCCACCTCGCAGATCGACAGCTCCGAGTACGTCAGCAACGAGGCGAAGTTGCGTCATGCGCAGGCCATGGCCGGCAGCGCTACAGATCGCCAGAAGGCCGAGTACCGCCTGAATGTGTTCACCACCAGCAACACACAGCAGCAGCAGCATCAGCTGAAGGAACAGCTGCATCAACTGCCCGAGACGCCAACGACGCCCACAGAGGCAGCACTGCTGCAGTCGGCGCCGACCAAGCAGGACTGGATACAGGAGTGGGCGCGCAATGCGCGTGCCCGCAGCCTGGCGCAGGATGTGAGCAGCAGTTCCGCCAGCCGGAGAAAGCAGCAGCAGGCGCAGGCACAGGTGAGCAGAGATCATAATGACATATATGTGTATATGTCCGTAACTAATCCCATCTCCCCCTCCTCGGTCTGCTGCAGTTGATGACACGCAGCTACAACTGCTCGGACACAGGCGCGGACTCGCTGACGGATGACAGTCTCAGCCTGTACAATCAGCAGCAGCGTCAATATGCGGCGGCTGCCAAACTCAATCGCAACCTGGCCGAGCGTTATCGACTGCTGGGCGACTGTGACTACGCGAGCGATCCGGCGCTGTGCAGCCATGCTGGCCAGGTGGGTGGCGAGCCATATAAGCCACCGAAGAGCCCCAGTAAAATACCCTCGCCGCTGCACACGCTGGGACGTGCGCGCAGTGCCAGCCGCTCCAGGCCGGCCATGGAGCAGCTGCCCTCGCAGACACCGTCGTCGCGTCGCAGCTCGGTTAAGTCGCCGGCGGCACAGTGCAGTCCACAGCACAGCCTGGAAACGGGCTATCATCGATCGCCGCTGCATCGTGCACTCATGACCAGCAGCATCAACGAGGCCCAGCTTCAGCTGTTGACCAGCGGCGAGTATTTGCTGAAGCAGCTGCATCGACGCAAGAACTCGCTGGACGATGTGGAGCACGAGCACGGCCATGAGCTGCCGTCTTCGATGTGCGGCGTATCTGGCTCCATATCGCCACTGCGTCGATCCAGCTCCTTCCAGCAGCAGCAGCGACCGCTGCAGTCTGTGCGACGGGCGCGTCCCAACTTTCAGAATCTGTACACGCCGCCCGCGGCACGGCCCATGCCGCAGCAACAGCTGCAGCTGCAGCTGCAGTTAAAGAAATCCGCCAGCAGCAACAACTTTGAGCAGTCGTACAGCGACTACGACAACGAGCTACAGTACTATATAAATGATGAGGACGAGCTGGGTACCACAGGTCCCTACTACTCCAGCGGCGATGAGGACGACGACATGGAGCAGCAGTCGGCGGCACAGCAAGCGGACTCTACGGTGCCGCTGAGCAACACGCGCCTCAACAAGGCGCTGCTCATGCGCATCGAACGCAGCAAACAGCGCGTAGCGGGCAGTGGACCAGCAACTGGAACTGGAACTGGCCAGGGGCAAACGCCATCCAAGCCCAGCTCAGCGCCCGCGGGCAAGCTGAGTGCAGCTGCCCAGGCGGCAGCCGGACTGATCGCCTGCCCCAATACGCCGGAGTTGCCGCGTCGCGGCATCAAAAGCGCTCACGCACCACGCACAGCTTCCGGCTGCGGGCCCAAGTTGCGTCAGTCCATGCCGCGCGAGACGAGTCTGAGCCGTTTGGCGCAGCAGGTGCCCAGCAGTCTGGCCAATGCAAAGAAGCAGCTGCTGCAAACGGCCAATGCGGGCAATGTCCGGGATCAGCAGCAGCGTGTGCAGCCCAAGTACCTGGACATATCCAAGTACAAGTCGGCGCAGTCCAACAATTTTCTGCGCAAAAATGATGCCAAGAGCACGCTAAAGCCTGCCGAGCAAATGAAGCGCAGCCCCAGCGCCTCCTCCATGGGCCTAAGTCGAACCGAGGGCACACGCGCCAGCAATCGCAGCGTGCGCTCAAACACCTCTGTGATGAACAGCAGCACCACATCGTTGGGTGGCGCCACAGGCATGCGCGCCTCATCCGCCGTGCGACGCGACGCCTCAGGTGAGTAGCCAACCCCAACTAAACAAGGGTAGACAACTAAAAAAATTACATTTCACATCCTGCAGTGAACAAGCAGAAGGAGGCCGAAATGGTCATGTGGAAGCGACGCTCCACATACGATCCAATGAAGGCAGCTGCCGAGGACAGACGCCGCAAGGAGGAAGCGCGCCGTGCCCAGACCCAGGCCCAGGCTCAGGCTCAGCGTCAGTTCAACGATATGGCCAACGATGTGCCATTCGAAAGGTAAATTGCGAGCACCTGCGTCGGGAGGTGTCGAGAACAGCGGTTGCAACGAATAATATACAATATTTAGGTCTCGTACAGATGTTTCAGTAAGCCCCCCTCTCTCTCTCTGAGCTCAATATACTAATCTGCTTTAGTCAGAACATTTAGATTCAAATTTAATATGTGGTTCCTAAGACCAGTCTCTTAGCGGAATATATGTGCATTTAGGTAATATTTTATCTTTGGATCTTTCAATTTGAATGATAATTTGATAAAATTCGTAAAACATAAAATGACACAATAAACTACAAATTGGAAATGTGACTAAAACACAGATGAACTCATAATTCTAGGCATATTCTAACTGTAAGCCACAAACGGCAGTCATTTGTATATAATTAATGGGTAGCTATAGTAGATATCACTCTTGAAAAGGAATACCCTATCGTTAATTACTATTAAAACTTATTGATTCATTTTGTTGTGGATTCCGCATCCAATTAGCGTATTCCCTTTGTTTATTTGTGAGATTCCTATTTTTAAAAGTTACTAGTCAATTAACAGAACACACTTTTCATTAAATAGGCATATATTTATTTATTTATATGCATTTTTTTTATTACTTTCAAATTATTCAGAACTTTACTTTTATAAATTTAATTCTTATTCAAAACAATTTTGCTTTATTGCTTAATTATAAAATATTGTACCCAAAGAATATTAACACAAGTATAACGAATACCAGAGTTTCCATATGTATTCTACAATGCATTTGTTATAATTCACAGATCGAAACTATTAGATATTGGGGAATTAAATTAGACAGGTATCCAATGATATTAAATTTAGTTAGCGATAATTTTTGCCTTCACAAGTGTTGTCGCCGGTTTGAGGCCTCATTTAGTTTGTAAGTTTTGAATAAGTAGACTTTTAGACATTATCATGGAGAGTTTTATAATAGTTGAAGTTATGTTTGTATTTATATAATTATCTTGTTTTTCCATATATTCTTTTATTATTAGCTTAAGGTTGTGGGTTTTTTCGCGGCTAGAGGTAAAGGTGCGTTTGACGGCCAATTGAATCTACTCGTTGCTCACTTACAATATAATCTACACGCTTACGATTGAAACTCTTGTAGTGCTCGATGCTGTTTATAGGCACACGGCATTGCGTATTCCCTGAATCTATTTGAATTGTAGGACATTTAGTTTTAAAAGTGTATAAACCCAATTTGTGTTATAATTTTGCTAATTATTTTCTTTTCTTTTAATTTCTGTACACCTACAAATCCAAAAACCACAAACGCAACTGCCTTTGCTATCCGTAGACCATCACGCTCACACTATCGCCGTGGACAGTTATGACCAACGGATGGTGTGCTAGTGACCGATCTGTAACAGCCATAAAACTAAGAAAACCAACACCAAAAACCAAAACATTCGACAACTATCTTTCCAACACCACAAACAACGCACACACACACAAATCGAACTCTCTTCTGTACACACTCTGAAAACTACATTTAACATGGTGCAAGCAGCCGACCCAGCGAATTCCGGTTCCTAACTACGTAATTAATCTTGATTGTGACACTAGAAGCATATATTCTAGACACTCATCAAATCAATGTGAACGAACACCCAAATGAAATCAAGCAACGAATTTGTTTATGGATTATTACTCGTTGTACATACGATTACTTCCAATCCAACGAACAGCGACAACGAATTGCGAATGCGACGCCCCCACATACAAGCTGCATAGCTTCGACGAGTTGCCAATGTAATAGAGAAGTTGCCATGCTGAGAGTACTCGCTACTCGCTACTCGCCACTCGTTACTCGTTGCCCGTTAATCGTTACTCGTTGCTCGTTACTGTTTATATTGTATTGCATTGAAATCATTTTTTACGTTGCTATTCGTGCTCGCAATTGTGCAATTGTCTCAAATTTGTATATTTTAACGGAAAATAAATGTCTTGTGCGGCTTTTCAAGCGCCAGCCTGTGCTACGCGCACTCTGCAACAAATGCGCATCCGTAACAAATCAAACTAATGCAACTAGAGTATCATACTTGTATCATTTGGCAGCCATCATAATCGAACGTGAATACTAATCCATAACCATTAAAATTGATGCGCTAAGCAAATCTTAACAATTGTTCGTTAGCTGTACAAAATGTTTGCCTTGTCTTGTACTTACCTAAACTAATTAACTCGTTCTCGTCATCATTCATACTATGTGATATATCTTAATGGATCTAACCTTTTAACTAATACAACATTCACACATATAGACAACAATTAAAAGCTTAGTTAGTCGCTAGTTTAGCACTCATTTTGTATTCGCTACACTCATTTAATATATATTCAACTGATTTACATTATATACGGAATTACCTGCCTGTACCTAATTTATATTCTCTCTCTACTCTCTACTTATGCCAATGCTCTCCATCTATCAGTGTGCAGCGACCGGCCAACAATCTGACCATCACGGGCAGCATAAACTACAGTCCAAGAAATTCAGTGGAAAACGATGCCTGGATGCTTGGTGAATCGTCGGAGTTTGGCGAATATCCCGAAGACTACGACGACGACGCGGAGGAGCAGGAGGATAACGAATATGTGGCCAGGCAAGAAGACTCCGACGATGTCTTCGAGGCGGAAACAGCGGAGACTACAGGCTAGGACAGCGGCCAGCATCATGTTAAACCAGCAACAGTGATATATTAAAGCGATTATATATACATATATATAAATATATATACATATATATTTATATGTAATTAACAATTTATGTAAATCATAGTAAGCGCAATGCGATTTAGTTATAATCTTTTCCTACATTGTAACAACTTTGGGTTTGCATACCACACATTTGATATGAAATGATTTTGATTTATATTAACTGAAGTTTACAAATATGGGTAGGGCAGAATGAATCTGTCTTGAATAAAATGAGTGAATACTTTGCAGAGTATAGTAAGACGAATATTATTATTACGATGCTGTCCAAAACGCCATAACTGAAATAAGAGTTAAACAAATTATATTTTAAACGGAACTGCATATATGAATTTTAAATGAGAACTACAATAGAAACTGCATTCAACATATGATCTATGCTTAGTTTAAAGTTAATATACCATATATATTTCTTTCTCTGTTATACAAATGATGTTCAACAACTAAAAGATACTCAAAAAAAAAAACGAGCGGTGGCCTTATATCGCTAGTAAGTCCGATAAGAACGTAGACTGCAAACAAGTGCTTGAAATTATATCCTAAGAATACGGAATTGATTTAACAACTGCGCTTTAAACTGAATACGCTCCGGATTTACTCGATGTCTGCGCCGTAGCACGACAAACTCTCAGAATGAACGAATTGTTTGTAGATTTTGTATGCGTACACAAAGTATATTAAACACAAAATGTCCATACATATATATACTAAATATATGCATGGATTAATATAATAATATATAGTTTTTATAAAATAACGAGTACGAGTAGGATATATACTCATTTGGTATTTGCTTTTAAAACGCCCAAATTGTTTAAGTATTTTTAACGTTTACGTGCAGCTTTCAATGCTTTCAAGCAGAATCAACTGAATATGACTTAATCTAAATAGATCTAGATTATTAAAATATCAACTAACTATTGTAATTCATAATGGTGTCGGTGTCCATTTTATCAGCCACTGAACTTTCAAGTCACAAATTGATGTAGCTGCTACTTGATTTTAATGATATGTTTTCAATTCAAACCGTCTACAAAAAAATTGATAATTTTTGTGAAATTCAAACAAAACGTATGTTGTACAATTTGTTTATTGTTGTTTTATTTCTAAAGGCAAAAAATAAAATGCGACTATTAAAGCTGAAAAAAGCTAATTCTGTCCAATATTCCTTAAATCTAAGCATTGTTTAATATGTTCTCATAATCTTTTAACATACATATTAGCGGTTATATCCTGGCCGGAATATCCCAAAACAAAAGGTAACCTCATCAACTCAGACTCAGTCACTCAACTAGTCAGGATTTTAAGAGATTTATATATTACTAGCGGGTGTTGCCCGGCCTTGCCCGTAACAAGTTTTGTGCTTTGTTTTAAAGTCGAACGAGTGGCAAAAAATAAACTTTAATAGAATCGTTTACCGCCAATTCACCACAATCTCGAATGGAATTTCTTGAATTGCTGAAACACTTATTCATTAAGTTCTCTTGTATCCGTTTGGTTGTAAGTTTGAGGTCGATTGGACTTAAAAAAAGACTAACCTGCATTTTCTACGGACGCAGTTTTTATGATTTTTGAAAATGAATTTGAGCGTGAAACATCACCCACCAAATCTCTGACCTCGATTTCCACCAAGCTGGGAGGATTTTGGGAAAAGTTTGAAACACCCCTCAAATGAATTTGAACCTAGATCTTTGAAAATAAGTTTGAGTTTTACTCAAATGCGATTTTTCCACACATGCCGGTGGAACATGTGATGAATCACGTATGGCGACTATAGCGAAAATCTTAACCTAGTCTTATGGTTTTGGCTGTCAATCAGTCAGTCAGTCAGTAAATAATATAAACTATAAGAAAATTAAATAATACAAGACATGAACAAAATATATTTAAAAATTGAATTTTAAAATTTAAAATTAATATATATATAAATTTAATAATAATATAAAAACAATAATAATAATACTGAGGAACTGCTTTGAATAGAAGCAGACAGATGGACGTGGCTATATTTCTTTCATATTAGCTTTGGCTATCTTATAACCGGAAAATGTGTACATAGCTTTTGTGCGATAATATGTAACCAGCAGCATCTACGATCGCAAAAAGTGAAGACCTACATTCTTGATCAAGACGACGAGCGAATTCGATGTTCGTGACACTGCCCACTAGAGTTGCTCTGCGTTCTTTATTTTAAGCGTAAGCATTTTTGATGAATGTCACTTGGTCCTGATCCATGGCTTTTGTTTATTTATATCAAGTTCCCGACCCACTGATAATTGCTTACAATCCACGAAATATTGGACAGCCGTGCTTCCAAATAATTGCCGTATTTCAGTCTATTTACGTTTGTTCTGGTGCTGAGTGCAGTTGAGATTTGCATTTCGCAATTCCAAAATCAAAGTGCTATCAAAGTGCAATATGTTACATATATTTTATTTATAAGCCTAATACTGATCGTAGCTGAAGCAGAGTTTAACAAAAATTAGGTAAAATAATGATTATTTATCAATTTTTGTGTGCACTGCAGAAAATAATTCAGATTCTTTTTTATCAGTCTTGTGTGGGTGGCAACCAGAATAGCAGAGGAGGAATGTGGAGAGCACATCTAAATGGCTGTGAGACCTTTATTAAAGTATATTCATCAGATGACGGAGGAAATCGAAAACAATAACAATAAGATTGAAGGCAAAGATAGAGAAATCAAGCTACTGCAGGAAGAACTTAACCAAAATAATAAGCAGGTCATCGAGGAAGTTAAAGCTCAGAATCAATTCTGCAAGCAGAGTATCAAAGAGGTAACGTACAACGTTTTATATATATAAGAGGAAATGGGTAAACTTATATCTAATGCCTTGAGAATCCAGGACTTTGAAGAGGAGCTTAAGATACAAAAGGAGTCAATTGATCACCAGGCCCAACAAATATTCTAACTCAAAAACGAAATCGACCTTTATGCCAAAAAAATAAAAATCACCGAAGTGAAGTTTACGGTGAATGCACCGACTTTGCTGATGCTCCGGGTATTCATAAGATTACTCCAGATCAAGAAGATCCTTTCGATGTACTTTGTGATAGTGCGACAGCAGGTCCTGGCTGGACGGTTATCCAGCAGCGAATCAATGGTAGGGAGGATTTCTACAGGAATTGGACCACATATCGCAAAGGTTTTGGTTCCTTTGATGGTGATTTTTTCTTAGGACTTGAAAAGATTCATCGATTGACGCGCGCCCAACCTCATGAGCTCTACATACATATGGAAAGATTTGATGGAGACATTAAATGCAGATAATATGATCCATTTGCCATTTCTGGCGAAGACGACCAATACACCTTGATCACTTTGGGTAAATCTGAGGGCAGTGCAGAATATGATTACTTGAAATACCACAAAAATAAGAAATTCAGCACATTTGATCGTGACAATGACAGTTCTTATTATACGGCGAATATGGCTGGTGGCTGGTGGTACAGTTCTTGTGCATACAGGTATTAATCGCCACAGCTTTGTTAAAACAATTTAAATGCAATTCATTTCATATTGTTTTATTTCTTAGCAATTTAAATCAACTTGAAGTTCCTGTCTTATGCTTATACGCCCCAAAAGCAATGGGAAATAGAGAAAAAAAAAACAAATATGTAGAGCATTTATTGTAAGGAAGCTAAAATTATTTTACAATTTATTTATAAATTAATTCAGATGCTGTAATCCCAACAGAAATCCACAACAGACGAATACAAAATTGTTAAAATTGACGGATATCAAAAGAAATTCAAATGAAATAGAATTCGATTTTAAAACAAACTTCGTTATTTAATTGTATACAAAGTCGGCTACAAAAAAATCGATGGAGTCCTCGAAGTACACGCCCGTGGAAAATTGAAATCAACCAATCTTGAGCTTCGCTTCTATTTAAAAATAGGTTATAAGTGCATCGAATAAAGAACGAAGTGTTGCAATCAACGAGCCCCCCTATGTTAATCTTGCCAAACTTTCCTTTATTAAGTCCCGAAGAACGTATCAAGTAAATTCTCACTAATCTCAGTCAGTTACGCTGGACAAACAGTTTTATATATAGAGTTGCTCAGAAATATTGTTGCTGGGGAAAAGTGTAAAAAAGTATAGCATACTTTTGTGCATATTAATAAAATCTCTTGATATAAATGAAATGTTGCAAACGTTGGAAACAAAACAGGATGTTCGTAAGTTTTGTACAACATTTCCATGTAATTGAGAAATATTTTGATGAAAATAAGATTACCTCAAACAAGACAAGAACAACAATCAAAAATTCCGCATAACATGCTCTTTGATATGCGCCCTTGTTGGGCGTGGCTGGAGTTAGGTGCGGGGAGGGGCGCGCTGGGCGGCATTGGATTTGTATTGTTCGCAGCGGAAATGCCAATTAGAGATTTCATGTAATGCTGAAAACAAAAAACCAAAACTAAACAAAAATAACAACAAGAATTTCAGTGTACTCGGGATAAGCAAAGGGAGGGGACGAATGCAGAGAACCCGACAAAAAACAAAGCATAGTAAAATGAAGCAAAACTAATTAAATTAAATAAAATAGAATTGTAAACAACGCGGGGGTAAAAAGAAGCAATAGCAACAGCAACAACAGAGGCGAAAGCAAAACAAATAAAAGAGTCATAAATATTTATCAAAAGAAATAACAAAACAATCTGTGAAAAAATGCCTGAAATTAACAACAACAATGAAATGTTGGTCCGCTTGTTTTAGTTGTTGTTGTTGTTGTTGTTATGCAATTTGCCTGATAAATGTATTAATAAAATGTTATGCAGCAACAGCTAAATACGGTCGAAATTTAAGAAAACAATTCAAATTATGAATATCATTATTATTATTATGCCTGACTGAGCCGAGACAGAAGTCCATTTCCAGAATAAGTTCAGTTCTTTTGACTATGCCCAAACAGTTCAGTTCCACGAATTCCCATGCTTCACCAGGTTCAGGGCTGCAAAACCAATAAGTGCTGGTCGCTGGTTCGGTTCACGGTGCCCTGAAGTTAGGTTCAGTTCATGAAGCTGCTCTATTCTTGATATTGGTTCAAGCTTTGTTTTCTACTGAAACAATTTAATTTTTAACTATTTTCAGTATTGCACGTTGAACTGGAAATAATTTAAGCCGAAAAAATATTTTCTTATGCTAAACGAGGACTTAAATAGCAATGCAATTATTAGCGCTAAAGTTATTTATACTTTGAAGATCTTGATATTGATATTGATGTTGATCTTGATCTTAATGAAATTAATTTTTGCCACTTTTGGACAATTGTTTGGTTAAAACTTCGATATATGGAGAGCCATTAGTTGGAATTCAGATTTCGATTTGGTTCGCAATCATGATAAGAGTTCTTCAGATAAGGCAGTTGTTTATTTACAATGAACCTTTGAAAATTGAACCAGTTCGAACAATTTTCTTCAGCGAAAATCTGAAAACCTCAAAAATTAAATAGTTGTAAAAAAGACGATTCCAGGCTTCAATCGAAAAGTGAGTGGTGGAACGTTTGTGGAAAATCAGCTTCACGAAATGGCACTGGTTCAAACCCTGAATCGAACCACCGACAAATTCTTGTTGGTGCTTATAGCACAGATTACGAATAACACAGTCCCGCCTCGTGATTTCTTCAGAGTTGATCGGTTCTATTGAAATGTTAATGCTTTCTTTTTTCTGTGTGTTTAGTCTGGCATTTGGCAACTGAATTATTTACGATTTTTCGATTATTGTTGGCCAAGATTTTTGGGCAATAAACAAATAATGAATGCTTAATGTGCCTACGAGATCTTAAACAATGCGAATTATTATTTACGAAACGAATTGAAAACTCTTTCAATTTTATACAACACATTGCTGGATACTTGAGGCCACTTGAATCGATTTGATATATGGTATTATTTTCTATGGTATGCCACCATCCAAAGTGGACTTCATTGATTGCGTCAGCGGCTCACAAAAGAATTGTCAGTTGATTTTTATGAGGACAAGAATTGCTTAATATAATAATTATATTATTTATATTATTGCCAAGCTATTCGTGCGGATAAAGCCGCTTGAAATTATAGTATAAGCTGGGATTGTGGACATCATATATGGGATGCTTCATGACGATATACCTAAAGTGCCAGTGCTCCAGGAGTAGCACAAGACTCGACACCAGATACCCAATGCCCAATGCGACGAAGGAGCTCCAAAACTTGTGCAGATTCATGAGCGCCTCCTGCGGCGCCTGCTCCTCGGCTGGCAAACGTTTGATCACATCCCGCAGCCATTTGGCAATCAGACCTGCACGAGAGACAGAGAGAGAGAGAGAGGGGGTATATATGGAGCCTGAATCGAATGGTTTGCTGCACCCACCGCCCTCGCCCAGGTGCTGTATGATGCTGTCGACGTGCGGCTTTAGCGCCGAGTTCTTCTCCAGAGCCAGCGCCACGGGCATATGGACAACGCACTCCCTCATGATGTGTAGCGCGCCCATGGCCACACCATGTGCCTCGTCTGCCGCACGCAAATGTCTCAGAAAGAACTCGTTGTCATAGTAGGCGCACTGACCCCTAGCTATGCGCTTGGTCTGGCAGGGATCGGGAGTCAGCATATATGCCGGAATTTCCTATATATAATCTTGACATGCTCACCAAGTCGTCGAGCTGCAGCACTATTTCCATGCGGGCGCCCACCTCGCGGGCTGTCTCATCGCTGGACTCCAGAAAAAACTGCTTGTTGTCGGCTGCTCCAGTTGTGGGCGGTATGCGGGCGCGGCTCAGATCCAGGAGCGTGTCAATGGTGACGCTGAGTGGGAAGCAGAGAAGCGGGCATATATGAATATTGACTAATGTGGCAAGCACTTGATACGCAGGCCATACCTGGCCGCCGGATTGGCCAAAATGGCCGTAAAGCTGGCCCTGTAGGTGGCCACCAGAAGGATGCAGTAGACCCAATACCAGCCCGTGAGCACGCGCAGCGGCCAGTTGCGCGGCATGCGGGGCAGTGCCACATAGAGCAACATGCTGTACGTGAGCAGAATGCAATTCGAATAGTTGTCAAAGATGTCCCGACGAGCAGCCCCCAGCTGGGGTCTGGGTCGATGCCTGCCCAGGGTAATGCGAAAGCTTAAACGCTGCCAGCTGAGCGGATCCCGGCGCAGATGCCGCCGTCTTCGGCGCAGGCAGCGGAAGAAGGCCAGCCGGCTGCTGCTGCCCATGAGCAGCGCATTCAAGTAGCTGATCAGATAGAAGATGGTGCCGACGGCCACCAGGGAGAGCAGGACGCCAGCCCACATGCCACCGCTAAAGGGCAGTATGAAGGTCTGCCAGGACTTGTCCTTGGATGATTCGGGCGTCAGGAACGTCAAGCACTCCACACTGTGCGGCACACTCAGCTCCACCAGCTGCACATAGCTCTGGAACAGATGCAGATCCCCAATGCCAAAGCGAGCATTGCGTTGCGCCTGTCGAGAGATAGCTCAAGAATGTCCACTGCTCCGGCATCACAAATGTATAGCCAAAAACTTACCACTTCCTCAACTAGACCTCTCTCCATGCGGGTCTCGTTCCCCTGCAGCGACTGCTCCCAATTGCTGGCGTCGCTCTCATTAATCGCATAATAAAACGGCTGGAAATTTAGGGCCTTGGCCAGGGCTTTCATGATTTCCACCTCAACGCCTTGATAGGTATTCGTGGATCGATTCAGCTGTACCATCGGCACGTGCTCAGCAATGGCCACCGCCAGTTGAGCGCCTGCAAATATATATTTAGAATGCTTTTACCTGGTTATGGACACTTTGCAGCAGCTTTCAATAGCCAGAACCAGGTAAGTAGCATGCATGTTTACCCTCTATTTATTATAAAATATGGACCATGGACCAGATCAGAAAGGTTGCATACATTTTGATTCATTTGATTCATTTTGACTGCTTCTGCTTATATCAAATTCGGATATGTATATATTAAATGCAAGCCTAAATATAGCTTGTTATAGAGGGATTACAATTTTGCCATGCAATATGTAACACACAGAAGGAGACAGAAGGAGATGAGCATCAACAGCCGAGTTTATATATCTTTCTATGCCAACTAGCCTCTAAATTTGAAAGTTCTCGTCTGGCAACTTTGCATGGGTCCGTCTTCCGTTGTAGTATATACATATGTCCGAGCCTGCCGGATCGAGCCAAAGGAGCCGTAGGAGCGATTGGTTGAAAATTAAGTTCTTTTGTGAAGAAGACTTTTTTGTTTTTTTAAGCTATTCCGGCGAATCTTGGCATTTACTAGTCAGGGTATGCTGATTATATATTATATATACCTCTAGGGGAAGAATCGGTCTATTATTCATATATATTCATAAAGCTTAGCATTTTCGAACTTAACTATTCTCAGATATTTTCAAAACCCCAAAGCTAATGTCTGCAAGGATATTAAGCCTTCGTTGTAAGAGCTAGTACACAAAATCTTTGCTGCTTTGGGGGACATCATTTATATAATCAGTAGTACAGGCCTGCTAAAAGGGTTTGAATCCACCGTTGTCCCACACTATGTTTCGGAAAGGCATTCTTTACCAACTTTGATGTTCCGATCCTTACGAAACTTTCAGGGCATTCTTTTGATATCCAAAGTGAATACTTTATGCCATGGGAAGATATTACTAAAGGGGAAAGGTTTCCATAAGGTTCTACTATATCAGTGTATAGATCCACTAGATTCTGCAGCCTATGTTTGCTTTGGCTAACTCTTATAGTACTTATTATGGAAATGTAAAGTAATATCACCAAAAAATTGCAATCTGGTAGTACATATAGTCTCTAGCATTTGTAGGCTAGATCGATCCAATTCTTATTCCTGATAAAGGTTCTTATTCCAATGCTACATTAGGTGGAAGTGGGATATAGTTTCTGATGGTTTACCGTGCAAATTGCGCGTCTTATCCGTGAAAATGATTGCTCCATCCATGCGTTTACCAGCTCTCCAGTTCTCCAGCTGCTTGAGGACCACAACGCGGCTCAATATGCCCGGATAGGCAATGGTCGAGATGCTGTAGCTGCCAGAGGGAAAGTTCCGCTAGATGAGTTGGGCACTCGCGGAATTGGCCAAAGGATGACTCACCTGTTGTCCAGCTGTCGCCGCAGGAACACGGCGTTCACACAGACGCTCCACACGTGCAGCATATCGTCGGTGAAGAGCCGGACATCGTGCAGCAGGAGGAACTTGCGCTGCATATTCAAGGCGCGAGTCTCGTAGACGAACTTCATCAGCTGCTTCACCTGCCAGCCATTCAGCAGGGTCAGCACGTGCAGGTCGCAGTCACTGGCCCGGATCGCACGCAGCAGCAGCTCCACTTGCCTGGACGGCCTGTGCAAGTTCTCGCTGGCATTCAGCCGCAGCAGAAAGTGCGGTCGGGCAGAGCGCAGAGGGCCCACGGCCTCGAAGTACGCCCGGTCGTAGAGGGCGTGGTGCAGGTCGTCTGTGATGACCGCAAAGCAGCGCTGCACCTGTGCACGCCGCAGCAGCCACTCCAGCAGCTGCTTCAGCTGGCTCTGGTAGTTATCCACGGGCCTCGGACTCATCAGCTGGCTCCAATCCAGGGCCCCAGCCAGGCATATCCAAAAGGAGAGCAATGCCAAGTGCATCCTTGCAGCACACACTACGCAATGTTGAGCGCTTTTCGACTCCATTTTGGGGTTAACCCAACTTTTGCGCCACATTCCGTATGCAGATCTAATTAAGCTTGCCTGAACCCACCTAAACCCCAGCTGTCACTCAGGGGGGGTCAGTCAGTTGCTCCGTCGGACCCTCGGACAATCGGACTGTCGTAGACTCGAACAGGTGACCTGCTTTACTAACATTTTAACTAGATGGCACTTGATCTAATTAAAGCTCTAAATGGAAACTAAAGCAATTGGATTCCAAAATTGACGAAATAGCGACACAGGAAAGACAGAGAAAGAGAGAGAGAGAGAGAGAGAGAGGGAGAGAGATTAAATGGTCTATATGGGACCTAAGGAAGGTATTTCAGAGCAGAGCAGAGCAGAAGTAGACATGAGTCATGAGAGAAAGTCAATAGAAAGTCTTTTATCATAGATATTCACTCATTTTCCGACAACATGCGTGGATTTTCGTATACTCGGTTGTTGATGCTGATTAAGAATAAATGAATCGGATGGGATTTCAGATGCCTCCTTATTCCACTTTAATTCATTGTTCATTTTCATGAAAATTGGATACTTCTACTTCACCCCAACTAATAGGCATTTGTCGACCCATTGATCTGTTAACCCATAAAAGGAAGTTTAAATTCACCCAGTTTCCACTCTTGTTGGTGAAATTTGTGTACATACAACTGCCAATTATAATCCTATCTGTGGTGTTTGTCAGCTGAGCTCACGACCATGTATCTTTAAAGAAAAATCACCAGAGACTAATTTGAAATCAGACCGAAGCTAATTTGTTTGTCCGTCTTCATTAGACGGGCTCGGGGGAGGGGCACGGATAATCGGCTGGGCAATCGGTAAATGGGCGATAAAAGTGCGCGCAGACGCTAATGATAATGTAGACGACGTGTCACCAGGAATCAGTCAAACAAACCGATTAAGAGGCGACCAGAAGCCAGATAACCAAATGCACATTAATGTCAGCTTAAGTCCAGAGACAAGTCCCAGGCAGCAACAGAACCGGACTCAAAGCCAGAGACAGTGCCAGAGCCAGAGCCAGAGCCAAAAGAGCAGCGCGAAATGCGAAATCAAATCGTCTGAGAGAAACCTCGAGCGGATGTACCTGAGTCTAAGCCCAAAAGACCAGCGGCAACAGGGTTCGAACTCGTTTCTTGTTGTTGTTGTTGACACTGAGACTGAGACTGAGACTGAGGCTGAGTTTGTGACTGTTGCTGCTTCTGCTCTTTATTGTCGTGTAATTAACTTTTTCCGAATCTCCGGATTTGGAATTGTTTGCACATAATTGCAATTTAATTATTTCTTTTCTTTTTGTTGTGCTGTGTGTGTTGTTGTTGTTGTTGTTGTATGTTTTTATGGATTTATGTCGGTAGCGCGGTCTGCTGCCGGCCATTAGCCATTAGCTGCAGGTAACATCATGAGCCCGGCCCGAACTCGGGGCAGGTAGCACGAGAATCGATTCGGCCAAGTGGCAGGTCGAGGCCTTAACGAGTGCGTTGCATGCCACAGACGACACAAACAGATTCCCAGTTTGAGCTGCGGCCCTTTTGCCCCGGCCGCACTCGCACTCGCAGTCGCGTTATGTTTACATTGACACATTTTGTATTTCTTTCGTTTTGAGACTTTTGGCATTATTTATGGATGGGTTTCTTCAGGTTTCTCATAGGCACACACATGTGCGTGGGTCCTCAACCACCCCACGCGAGGGTAGATCCCGACCCGGGTCCGAGTCCGGGTCCGGGTACTGTCATTAGCTATGCTTCTGTTTAAAGTGCCTACAAAAATATCTTATGCGAATTTACTCTCGATTGTTGTCGTTTGTTGGCCAAAGTGTGAAATTACAAATGCCATGCTTAGGCCTGGGAAAATATCTATTCCTGCCACAGATTTCCCACCTTATGTGTCCAGACGCAAGCTTATGATTTCTGTCGGGCAGCTGCTGCACTGCGATTTGTTAGTCCTATTCTGGCCGAATGGTTAATTATTTTCGGCGGGGAACAGTTAATACACCTGTCATGCTGCCATTTAGTGAGAGCGATTTGCATAGCGGAAGCGACTAAAATTAAATCAGCCATCGCTGAGATCATCCCACTTAAGTTCTATTCCCACGCTTATATCAATCGATTCTGTCATACCATATTTTAGGCGAACGGGTTTCTCGTCTCTTTTTTTTTCTTCTGTCAAACAAATCTATTCATTGATATTCTCGTATAATTCTCAAATTTTCAATTAATGGAAACACATTTAAAACCCTCTGCGATCTTTCTTTTTTATTAATTATACATCCCGAACTGTTCCCAAGTTAAGTTTATGCGTTCTAAAAGTCAAATAAAAAATATTGTATTTTATTTTTTTTATTTATTTAATTAATTAATATTTATTATGTTATTTTAATATATGCATTTATCTTAAGGTCAATTCTTTACGTTAAGAAATACCAAAATGTTTTGAATAATTAAATACAATTTTATAAATTTATTAATACAAGGTCGAACCATCTCAATGGTTCGAACCCTTGACTCTTAACTTCATTAAAACCCACTAAAAAGGCTGAGCACTTCTTTAGGTTTCCTCTTTAACTTAAAATAAATCATAATTCAATAATAATTCCTTATCATATTATTGTATAAGAAAATTCGAACCGTCGCACTGGTTCTAATCCTTGACCGTAAACAACCTTAGAGCCCACTAAAAAGCTGTTATTTGTCTTAAGTTTAAGTCTTTACTTTAAAATATACCACAATTCAATTGGAATACCTTGTCGTATTATAAAACTACATTTATATATAGAAGTTTCGAACCGTCGCACTGGTTCGAATCCTTGACTTTGATCAGCTACCACCTTAACGCCCACTACAAAATCTGTGTTTAGTCTGATTAGTTTTGGAGCAAAGCTTTATATTAATTAATGTACACACATATATATATATTTGTATATACATATATGTAAATACCCTGGATTTTAGCTGAGGTATATACATGCTGCATAGAGGCGTTTCAATCAATCAGTTGCCAGTTAGAACTAAATTCATTAGCTTGATGAGGCATTATTAAATTATTCACGTCTAGAAATGTGCCAAGTCGAATGGGAACACTTTGTCCATATCAATGACTAATCTATATACCTATATATTTGTGTGTGCGTGTGTGTGCGCATACTTACACACACGCACTGTGGTATCTATAGAACATGCTATGTAGCTATGCAGCAACATTTTGGTTCATTCAATAAAAACTTAATCAGCATTCAATTAAATGCACAGAGCTTTACAGCAACAACAATTCAGGGGGGGATGACAAAAGCTTGAGGAGCAACCAAAGGGAGAGAGGGGAGGGTATTAAGTAAAGCCAGCAAAATAAAACGCGTTTTCGTTGATTATGTAAATCAATTGAGCTGCGAGGTAAAAAAAAAAAAAAAAAAAACAAGAAAAATTATGCTGATATATCGTTCTTTAGTATTATTTTCTGATTTTTTCATCTTTTGTATTGTCCGTCTCGCTGCGACGTGCGACGCCTATTTGTTGTTTTATATAATCAATTTAAGTTGTGGGCCTGATGAGCCCTGTTTATACCCTGTTTGCCAATACGAGGGGTATATCGCTTGCAGCTCTTTTGACAAGCTCCACACATTCAGCTTCCTCTCTGGGTTACAGTACAGATGCAATTTCCATCTCTTTTCCGCCGTGAATCAGTTCCGCACAGCATTGTGAATTGTTTCGAATTAGGACTTTGAATTGATAGGGTTGAACAAAGAAACCGTTTTGCTTAACATTTATCATTTTTGTTCTGACTAATTCGGGTAATATGGAGTACAACTCCATTGTTGCACGGCCTGATAATGTAATACATATAGTTATGCCTCGACTGACTAATGACTCGTGCCCTATATAGGCAGAGCACCTGTTGTCTTTTGTAGTCATGCCAAAGGAATGCAATTAGTTGAACTGCAACTTGACTAATTGCGCCTTGATGTAAGCGTGTTGCTTTCTCTGATAATACTCTCCCTCCCTCACTCCCCTCTCTCTAGTCAGAGTCGTTCTGCATATACATACAGCAGCAACACGTGTCCCATGTCGCGAATCTGCCGAAAAGCCGCGCAAAGCTTGTGAAATTCTAAAACCGAGCCGCGGGCTGACTAATTCGCTTCCAGTGCGATTCAGAACTGTTGCCAAGGGTCAGATCTATAAATACATATACATACATAGGTTTTATAGACCACAAATCCGCACTGCGTCTAACCTTGGAACGTCCAATCGCAGCAGAGGCCCGTCCATATGACACACATCCGATATCAGTTTGCCGTTTGCCGTTTGCCAAGTGATCTAATCAAAGTAAAAATAATAAAGAAAACAACAAAAAGAAGTGAAGTCTTTGTGCGAACTCGGGTAGACGCTGTGTCTACGCGCTCAACGACATGTGGGCCGGGGGTCTGGCTATGGAAATGGAAATGGCAATGGAAATGGAAATGAAAATGGGCCGGTTGGGCGTCGAGGAACACGCCATTTCGTGGGCCTATCTGAAGTGCAGTACGTTTCGCGATAAACACGCGACCTTGCGAAAAGTTCCCGTTCCGCAGCTCCCGCAATAAAATAACACAGCTACACCTCTGACTTTACATATACATATATATATATATATATATATCAGATATATATATAACAATATCATTTATATATATATGACGCATATTTGCCCAAGCACCGTTAAATATTGATTTAATATTCTTTAGCTTCACTGTTGATAAGTATTTACTTTCACACACACACACACACACACAGAGAGACACTCGCACACATGTATATTTATATAGGGGCATTATAAACGTAGCGAGATATCTGATGCATAGTATAGAAAACCAGTCAGACGTTTTGTCGTCCAAGTTGTTGAAATTAGATAAGGGTTGACCGAAACGCATTTCCACCGTTTCCATCAATTTGCTCCTGCCCCTCCCCGCCCTGCCCCCTGCCCCGCCCCGTAGTCCGCCGTGTAATACAACACGTCCGATTGCTGTTGGCAAATATTTGCTGTGTAAACCCTTGACTGTGTGTGAGCGAATAATAGCTTGAGCTTCTAGAAACTTATCAGATCTATTAATGAGCATTATTTGCTGAAGAAATGGGTTGCATATTATTTTTAGTTACACTTCCATTTCTTATCAATTTCTTGAATGTCGCCTTAAATGGGCACAAACAGCTGTAGATTCAAGATATGTTCTCTTTGTTCATCTTGATTTAAGCTGTTGGCTTTTTACTTTAAGACGAGCGGCCTAGCAAAAAGC